TGTGCTCGGAGGTGCTCATGGTGGTCAGGGACCATTCCAGTCCCGGGATGCTCAGTGGTACTTGCGGGCCAGAGCATGAGCCACGACATTGACCAGCTTTTGCCAGGCAAACTGGCAAGCAGGGGTAAAATCCCTGGCGAAGTGGGAAGCCAGGACAATGATTAAGATGTCTCCAAGGAGCTGGAGGAGAAAGAGCAAAACAGACAGGGTTAGTGCTGCTCGAATCGTTGTGCTGCAGCGGACCACGGAGCTGGGACTGGACATCTCTGGGGCTGAGCTGTTGGACTCACAACCTCGCAAAGGTGGCTCTGCGCTTGTGCTGCACACAACTCCACCAAGCCCACCCTGTCCTGCCATGTCTTTAGCTCTAAACAGCTTCTACCTTTGTGCGAGCCCTCTGTCCCCCTGGTTTTCCTACTACAGACTTCCCTCCAGTTTCAGTTCTGTCACCTCTCCTTCCTATCCTCCCACCGCCCTGCAGCCCCCGGGCGGAATTTCCTTTCTCCTGGAAGGACGGGGGCTGCAGGCTGGCTGCGGGGACTGGCTCACTCCCTGGGACTGCTACAACAAAATCCAGTCTTTCCACAGAAAACTGTGGGGTTTGGGAAAACAATATTTGCTTCATTCTTAAAAAAAAAAACAAAAAAGAGAGAACCTTGAAACTATTTCCCCCCATTTTTGGGAGGCTAAAGCAATTTGGCCTGAGATCCACCCTGCAAAATGCTGGGGTTTTGGGTTTTTTCTTTTTCTCTTTAGAAGTTAATGAAGAAAAGGATCCATTTTTATTTAAAAGTGTTGGAGGAGGAGACAGTGTCCCATCCAGACAGGCAGCCCATGCTGGACAGGGCAGACACCCATTCTGTTGTTTTCAAGCGAGTTACCTGCTTATCTTGCTACAGGACCTATGATTTCCTTAAATGCTCTGCTTACCTTCCCTCTCCCTCCGACTCCTCCAGCCCACGCTGCACCTCCTCCTGGGTTTGTTTCTTCTGTTCCCATCCCCAGCGCCTACTTCAAGTAACAACCTCCCAACACCTTCTCCTCCCCCTTGCTTCGCTGGTGCTAAAAATGTGAATTTTTAGTGTGAAAGTCACCCACACTCGTGCAAACAGTCCTGCACAAGCTGTCATCTCACTTGGGTACTACGGAGTGACTCTGCCTCCACCAGCCGAAGGAAATAGCCCTAGACAGTGTTGTTGGAGGCAATACCCCCAGTTTCAAAGCAAAACCTGACTTTCCCCACGCTACACAGGGGAAGGGGTTGGGACTGCAAACAAATACGGCTCACCCTGAAGTTCTCGGGGTCCACGTGCAGCTTCTCACAGTGCAGCTCGGACAGCTTGGAGTAGGTCGCCTTAATGTTGTCCAGGTTCTTGACGGCTTCCCCGAAGGAGGTGAGCACTTTCCTGCCATGGGCGCGGACCTTGGGGTTGCCGAGGATGGCGGTGGGGCTGGAGAGGTTCCCGAAGGAAGCAAAGAACCTCTGGGTCCAGGGGTAGACGATCAGCAGCCTGGGGAGAGATGGAGGGACACAAGACACGTTAGTGCTCCCATGATCGGAGTGGTTTCTTTGTCCAAGGTGCAGCTGAGCAGATGCCCGGGAGCTGGACCTACCTGGCCAGGGCCTCAGCACCGCATTCCTCCACGTTGACCTTGCTCCAGATGCTGGCGATGAGCTGCTTCTCTTCGGCTGACCAGTGCACCATGGTGGCAGGTGGCTTTGCTCAGAGCTGCAGGAGGACACAGACCCCGTAGCTGAGCTGCAGACCCCACGGAGGCTTTTATCCACTGCCGGCAGCTCCTCCCCGTCCCGCGCTGCGGGGTGGGGTGGGGGTCCCCACCAGTGGGGGAGCAGAAGGGGATGGCCAGGGTGTGGCACGCTGTGATGGGGCCTCCGGTTATCCTGAGTTCAAGTGCTTTATCCCTTCCCTTCTGTGCAGGCAGTTCTCCACTTCACCCACCAGACCTGGGCCCCTTTGCAGAGAAAGGGCTGCACAAGCCACCGTGCAATAATAATCCATCGGGGTTTAACGCGTGTGCACGGGATTCGGTGGGGTGTGAGCTCGTGCTTTGGCTTTCCCAAGGGCTGGACTCTGCCTTGCCTTGGCCTTGGAAATGGTGAATGCCCCTGCCAAAGTGCAGCCCATGGCAGAGCAACCCAAAGGGGTTTGCCGTCAGCAAACTGTTCCGATATCTGCGCTGCGGGAGGACGCCAGGCCCCTTGCACCACCAGGAGCTGTGGGCGATGCTGGAGTTGCACAGAGGATGCTCAGGCTTTGCAGCTGAAATCTGCATCAACCCCATTGTCCTCCTCCTGTAACAGAACTTGATCTGCTTGACTTACTGGTCCCTTTTGGAGCAGGAGGAAATTCACCCAAATGTTCTTCCCTCAGCTGTAAAAGGACCAGCCAGATGCAGTGCTGCAGGGCAAGGAGCAAGTATCAAACTTTTCATCCCATTTCTGCTTTCATCGGCGTCCACAAAGGGCAAGTGAAACAGGATTTGAACACAAGGTTTGCCACTGCAGGATCTGCTATGGACTCAAAAAGCAGCAAAAGCTCAGCTCAAGGATGTCCAGTGGGGGGGAGCCCGGGGTCTTTCCCTTCCGAACGTGCCCTGACAAGACTGCCATACTTCACATTTTCCCCCAAGTTCATGCAGGCTGCACCCAGCCTCCTTTGGCAGGAGGAGGTGTTTGGCCTTCATGTGAATTGTTCCCCTGGGCACCCCTGAGCACACTTGGGGTGATGTACCCTCCCCAGGAGCAATGCCCCTGCACGAGGGGCTCTCCCTTTCTATTTTTGGCATAAAACCCCAAGAAACACAGCCTTGGTGAAAGCACAGGGGCTGTAAGCCTGATCCCAAGGCACCTGGGGCAATCTGCTGTCTTCCTGCCATTTTCCATGGGATTTGGACTGGGCTAACTAAGCGGCACTGGGTCTTGTCGCAACGGGTGGGATGACTAGTGACGGGGTAAGGGCTGGGGTGTTTGGATGGCCAGGCTGCAGCAGAGCTCAAGAGCTGACCGAGCTCCTCTCCAGACACTGGGGCTTGCCTTCCTCCATGGACCACCTCTGCTAAGTGTCTTCTTGGCCTTTTTCTGAAAATACAGGAAAGGGAGGAAAATCACTTGAAAGAAAGAAAATACTAAGGGAGATTTTCAGCCTGATAATATCCCTTTCCCCCTTTAGCTGTAGACCTTTTAATTTTTTTTCAACGGAATAGGGATGAATAATCTTTATTAGAGTTGCCTACATTTAGTGCACATTGGCTGGTGTGCTGGAGCATGATGATAAATCAAGTCGAGCGCTGCCGGTGTGCGTGCACGGGGAGAGCACACGAAGGCAGAATGCCGCCGGTGCCCACCCTCCTACGCCGGGCATCGCCCAGGGGGTGGTCGGCTCCCGCAGCAGCGTGCTGCCATCACGCAGGAGGCAAGATGGGAGCAGAGACAGCAGCGTGGGGAGAGGGCGTCCTGCAGGGTCTGTGTGCTGGGGGCACAGGGAGTGGGGTGTCATCCCCCGGCGGGGGCTGGGGAAGGGGGGTGAAGCCGTGGGCAGCACCAGGGGAACCGTCCCCGTCCTGCCATGCTGCTGGGTGCAGGGGATGGAACCCCCTGTCCCTGCTCCCGGGAAGGGGTACCCCGGGAGGACCCCCAACAGCAGGAAGAGCCCAGCACACCCCTGATGTGGGGTCTAACCTCAGAGGTCTGCTCGGCTCGTTTCTACCCCCAGACACCTTGCTTGCAGGAGGAGACCTACTTGTTCAAATTCAGGCATTTCTCTCTGAAGTCTATGAAGAATCCTGCTCGTACAAAAGTCCACAAGTATGTATCATGAAACCGAAGAAAAATCATCTAAGAATCAGGTTTTTTTGTGACCCTGGACACCTGCCCAGCACACTGCACTCTGTACCTGCCCAGGCTCCCTGCAGGGAAAAAAGTTCTTTGTAGTTCCTAGGAATCACCTTCTCTCCTTCTCAGTGTCTGCACTGACACCAGAAACAAAATGTCTCCTAGAAACGTGTGTGAGAAGGGGGATTTACGGGTCACAGAGGGCTTTTAATACCCCCCAGGGGCTCCGGGGCAGGAGAGTGGGATGCCCGTGAATGTGGGTGAAGCAGGGGTAGGACACGGTGCAGACAGGGTGTCAGAGACACTGGGATGTACAACTATGCCCTCTTTTTTTCCCTTTAAAAAAGTAAGCATGTCCTTGCAGCTAACCATTGCTTTTACTGCGTCACGCTCAGATCAGACGTGGCAGACGGTGCTTCCCGTGCCAAGAACAAACTCTACCCGAGAGAGTCCCACTCTGCAGACAAACACCCAAAATACTCTGCATGCACAGAGCATCGATCGATACATCCAGGAAATTATTAATAGTCACCACTATTAGCAGAATTGCCCCCCCCAAAAAAAAAAGAAAAAATTGCAGAATGGGCGGTGTAGGGTGAAAAAGAAGCACATAAACAAAGTCTGGACAGGTCTTGATAGCAAAATGTTTATCTAAAACCTACCCCCACCCAGCTGGCTGCTTGGCCAGTATGAGTCAGCTAATTTCTGGCAGGCTTTATGCCAGGAATGAGCCAGGGTGGATTAAAGTCTCCACTTTGTTTATCCTTCCTAAAAAATATGAATCCTCCAAGTTCCCCATGCCTGCAAGAAAACACGCAGGTTTCACAGTAAAATACAGCCTAGTTCCTCAAGGCAAACGTCCCAGTGCATGACCAGCAGCGGGGCTGCATCTACCTGACACTCCATAAGTATGATTTCCAGAGGCAAATCCCACACGACCCCCTCAAAAACATGCAGAAAAAAAAGGGAGGTGGTATTTTCTGCAAGCAAAACGCCCGCCCTGCTCCAGCTTACACCCCCAGTCTGCCCGCG